ATGCAGCAATAAAAGCTTGCATTGATGGAGCTAGTCATGAATTTGATTTTGAAACGCAAAAACTTTTAATGAAGGTAAACTCATTGAGTTTTATTTATATTTTTTCGCTTTTCATTATTATTAATAATAATTTTATAGGCTGCAAAATTTGGAAAAGGATTTAGTAAAACAATTGATCCTGAATATTACGTTAATATGTGTCGAACTTTAAGAGTTTTAAATGCTGTGAGGCATCCTGCTATTGGAATTCCACTAACATACACACAGTATCCTTTTATTAACGAATAATATTTAATAGTTGTTGAACAATTCAATCATTTCATATTTTCTTCAATTTTATCATTTCCTATAATAAAAGAATACCTTAATGGCGATAGATTCACTGTTCTCACGAGCCAAGTATTGTTGGATAGACTTGTTGCTAGACGACATTATTATTTAAGTATACAAATTGCACGGCATCTTCAATTACCAGAAATCGAAGGAGAAAGTCGAATATTAGCTCATTGGGCTTGCTACAAAGTAATATTTGTTGCTATGTTTCATTTACTCAAACGATATTTACATGAATATAAATTTTGTAATAATATCTATATTTATAATAATATTTAAATTTTATAATAATAATAAATATCTATTTATTTATTATTTTTTTATAATAGGTAAAACAAACACAGTTAGATAAAGAACAAATAGCAGAAGAAATAGCTGATAAATTAGGCTATGCACCTGGTGTTTCTTATAGCGAAATTGCAAGAAGAGCAGCTGACTGTGGTCGAAAACAATTAGCAATTAAGGTAGACTAAACTAGTCTAGTTATTGTTAAATAATTAATTCAAATTGTTCTTTGTTTATTTGTATCTTTTTAGCTAATAGATTACGAACCACGTGCACAACAACAAGTACCACTTTTACTAACGCTTGGTGAAGAAAAAGCTGCTTTACGTAAAGCAGTTGAAAGTGGAAATACCGATTTAGTTTATACTGTAATACTTCATCTCAGAGAAAATATGCCTCTTGGTGATTTTCAGGTATAATTTTATTAATTTTGATTGATTTAGAGATGCTTAATATTTTTTTCATTAATTTTCCCCAGATGTCGATAATGCATTGTCCTTTAGCAATGGCTTTATATATTAAATATTGTCAGAATCATAATCGAGAAACACTTCGCGATATTTATAATCAATACGATGATTTTCATTCTCAAGCAATATGGTTTATTACCGAGAGTTATCAGCGAAAGGTTTGCAACAATTAATATGATCAATCATTAATGATATATGTAACTATTTTATTATTTCATAGTATTCTTTAGAATGTAATGTCGAGAGAAGCATTATTACAATCCGCACAGGAAAATTTTAAATTAGCTCGTAACGATACTAATGCCGCTTTGACAGAAGAGCAAATAAAATTGTTACGTTATCAAAGGTCTATGGAAGACACATTACAAGAAATAATTGTAGGAAAACCACTTCATGATACTGTAAAAATATTATTATTGCGCAATGAATTAAAGTTAGCCGACAAATTGAAATCAGAATATCGAATATCAGATCGAAGGTATGATGTATTTTACATATATTTTAAATTTTGCGTATTTTAATATTTTCTTTTGATATCATTATCTATATGAATAGTATAAAAAGTTTTTTTTAGATATTGGTGGCTACGAATACAGTGTTTGGCAGAACAAGGTGCATGGAATGAATTAGAAAAATTTTCTAAAAGTAAAAAATCACCTATTGGTTATGAGGTATGTTCGCACAATATTAAATATATTTCATTCATTATTATCGATATATAAATGTGTTGTTTCTTTTTCTCATTTATTTTAGCCCTTTATTGATGAGTGCTTAAAATATAATAAAGACAGAGAAGCAAAAAAATATTTATCTAAAGTAAAAAATGAATTGAAAGTAAAATATTTGGTTAAATTAAAGTAAGTAACAAATAATTTAATATATAATTGTTAACATGATATAATTATTATGAAATCATAAAAAATATAATAAAATAAAAAACATTTTTGCAGAATGATAAATGAGGCAGTTCAAACAGCAGTAGAACAAAAAGATGTTATAGCATTAACTTTTTTATTAGCACAATGTGAAACAACAGATAGGCAATTGATTGATAAAATCAATATGCATATAACAAGTCTCAAAAATTAATATTTTTATTTTCAATCTAGTTTTAATCATCAGTTAATTAAGAGAAATATTATATATACATTCCAAAATTAAATACCCAAACTGATATAAAATAATAGAATATCATGAAAAATATAACAACAAAGATTCTTAAATATGTATGTAAACTTAATTTATGTTCATTTTAAGATGTAAATAATATATAAAAAATATAATAGAGTTAATATTTTCTAATTTATCTTTTAAAATTTCATAATATGACAACATATTAATTTATAATACTAAATTATTAATTAACGATAAAAAAATACAAAATACAATCGTTTAATATTTATTCAACATTGTATTTAATATTTATTCAATACATTAAAATGCATTTTATCAATTTAATATACATAAACCAAATGTTCATCAACACTCACATTGTTCAGTAGATTGTATAAAAATTTGATGTTTTTCAATGAGGTTATTAACAATCAATTGCTCAATTTCTTCACCTTTATTTAATTGTTCATTAGTAAGAGAAATAATATAGATGTCCTCTTGACTAACAATTATTACTTTCTGTTTTCGAGTGTGCAATACATTGGCTATAACTAACTGCAGAAAAATGTTTCAATGTATAAAAAAAATAAGTTTCAGATTTTCTTTTATATAATTAAATAATACTAATATTTCATTAATATTACTCACATTGTGTTTATATTTATTTAATGCATCTCTTGCTTTTGGAATTAGAAGATTGTCTTCAGTTTCTAATTTGAAAGATACCACAAAAGCCTCTGGAACCCATAAACTTACAAGAGGGGCTAAGATTTTTGGTACTAATTGAAGAGATATTGTTGGTGGTCCAGTAGAAGGAATTTTATGAACTGCCTGAAAAAAATCATTTATATATGTGTATATTAATATTTATGTTTACTTATTCTTATAGAAAATTTAATTAATATAAAAAAATATATATATATATACCAATTCATTAGATGGAATATAAAAATCTGAAACTGCAGCTGCTAGATATAAAATTGCTTTATTTTTAAGAGGCGCTAATGCTTGACAAGCAGATCGAAGAAGCCAAAGATATTCGGAAAGAGTAGTGAAAGTGATTTGTAACAATTTATCTTGATTTAAAGTTTCTTTGTATTTATGAAATATTTTTATCAAATTTTCTGTATATTGTGGTAAAACTAAAAATAATCATATCATTATCATTTTAAATGTATAAGTGATTTTCATAAGTGATTTTTTGTAATATAAAAGAAATGTATACCTGTAACTATACATTTTTCATTTTGTTTATTGATTTCTATCATATCTAAAATTTTTTGTCCTTTAAAATGTCTTGAAAATGGTTCCAAGGAATTAGCTCTACAAATGGGTAAATTATATATAGATATTAACTTAAAATATACAAATATGTTCATAAACATTTATTGATATAAAGTACCTATACACAAAAATTACACAATATCCATTTTCTAGAAAGTATTCTGCAGATACAGATCCTCTTGTTCCTGCACTAAAATTATCTACAAACCTTACTGTATTGTATTCTAGAGGTATTGTTGTCCCACCACTCTATAAAATTATATATATTTTTTTTATATATATTATATTATATTTATATATTTTTATATATAATTTTAAGTAATAATGACTTAACATATAACATTTTGTGAACACTCACTGTTATTAATACAACCATATTATTCTTTTTCAATTGTCGTTGTACAAATGCTTTTAATAATTTTTCACTCTGATCAAAATCTTGAGGTGGTGGATGGATAGCATAAAAATCTTCCCAAGTTGTATTCATATTATATATATAATAATAATTTCAAAAAAAAATCTTAAATGTTTCAATTAAAAAATTATATCAATAAAAATATTTTAACTAAAATTTCAAAATTTATATAATTAATTGCACATGTAAATTTTAAAATAAATGATAAAAATATATTATATTTTTTATTAAATTATGTTCCCCTTATTATTAATAAAATGCATCTGTAATCCTTTAATCTTACTTATCTTTCTAATCAGTATCTATCTGTTTCGAGCGTGACATCACTTTTACAAATAAATTAATTTATTTTCAGAAAAAACTATTATCACAAATACATATTTGTTTTAACCAATAAAATATTTTGCATATATAAATGTTAAAGAAAACCTCAAATTTTAAAAATGTCTAATTTAACAATATTTTTATGTATACATTATATTCAAATGATTTGAATGAATTTCATTATTTATAAGAAAATAAAAATCTTAACTAAATTGTGATTGATGTACGCGCTCTCTTGCGATACATTTGGTAATTTAATACATATGCAATCGATAAAAATGTTTTGTTACGTTAGTATTTCAAACATCATAATTATTCATAACCTAATTCAAATTTTGTTTTGACGACTATTTTTGTGTAATTAGTCGCATGCATATAATAATATATATAATTGATTACAACATAAAAATATTTTAGCTGGAAATGTATATGTAATGAATTTATATATATATTATATATATATATATAATTTTATATACATATATATATATATAATTACGACATAGGAAATAAA